CGTAATATAATATTCACAAATAGGTGGTGTACAACCTCAAGGATCAATATTGTTAAACATTTATAATTTCCCCTGTTGATTACTTTGATTACTTGAATACGGTGCCTTGAAATATAATATATAATGTATTTCAATCACGCAAGCCAACTACCGCGTCCCGAAGTTATCGTTTATTTTGTATCTATATCGTCTTATGTCCGTACTATATTCAAATGGAATATGATTACGAATTTATGTTAAACTTGAGTTAGTTTTACTTTGGATAATTTCCCAGCGCGAATCACTTTAACCCGATCCAGGTATAACACAGTTTTACTTTGATGTAATTTTTTTATATTTTTGTCAAACACTTTTTAGAGCACTAATAGTTAGCCCCAAAAGTTTAATGTAGTTGTATCGATCGATTAGAAATCGGACTAAGATTACACTCGAGATTTTATTGAAAATCCTTTCCTGAAAAAGCTAAAACGAACTTTAAGTCGTTTTTCAAACCATAAACGAATGTCGACAATGTGAATAGGATTATGCCATGGGTGTTTTAAGTGTCCGCTGAGTTATGACGACGTCGTGAATATTTATTATTTTTTCGGTTCTGAAGGTAATGTGATTGTTTTTTTAAAATATTTAACTCGAATCCAAGATTATTTTTGTTACAACCTAATTGTGTTAAAAGCATTTCGAAAACGTGAATAACAATATCGTTATTATCGTACGCGTTGTTCGTAAACACTTACTTTAGGTAATTTATAAACTACCCTCAAAAACGTTTTTCTGTTATCGTTTTCAATTTTCAATTACTGCAGCAACAATAATATCGTGAACTCTTTAAGCTCGTATTTTTCCTGAGTGGTTCTCAATATTACATTGCCGCAGTTTAATATTTTTCCAAACGACATGTCGCGTCTTTGAATTTGTGTGTACACGAAATGCATGGATTTAGGGGGTCACCGGAGGCAAGTGCCACCCCCGTTTGAAAACAATAATATTAAAAATATTGCATATTTAGAACAACTAAATAATAGTTAATAAAAATGAATGTTGATAGTTTTAGTACAATATTGTTGTATTATTTTTTTGTAAGGGGTTGATACCCTCTTCTTTTAAAACACCCTTGCACACGTCGATGATTAGTTATATTATATAATTTCTCCTTTAGAGTGCCTCGACCGTAAACAGATGCTGGATCCACCCTTGGTACACGATTCGTCTGTTGCTCATTATATTTCATCGACGTCCATAATGATATTATAATATTTAATTTTCGTAAAATAAAAGAAAGTCGAAAACAATATTAGAAATAACAAAAAACAGATATGATATCGATAAATAAATAAACATCGTGTTTTTTGTTTCTGGCAACGCGGAAGATTAGGTATCCATTCCAATACGAGACGAGGTGTGCGTACAAGCGTACAAGGGACGTAATTGACAAATGATCGAATAATTGAATCAAATTAATTGATTAATTAATACCGTAGTGTTATCCTTATGTACACAAACGAGACTGAAGCAATGAGTTGTCAGAAGTACCTATGAGTGCAAGTCGAAATCGTCGATTGAAATGATAAAATATGTTTGACGGAATTATGATTATAAATGTTAAATGAAAGAAAAATGGAAAATGTAGAATTGATTTACCTATTCATTTTTTTCTATCAATAAGATAAATGTTAGATAAAAGACAGTTCGTGTTCACCGCCCGCCTATGCAGCAACACGTATATTTCGTACTGTCATCGCATTTATAGCTCCCGATAGCAGTTGCGTGTATCTCTTTTACCTTACCCAGTGGTCAGGTAATATGATTATTTTTTTATAGTATTAATTACACTGACTCAATAGTCAATTAAATATATTGGGCGAAACGCCCGTCATCATGAATATGAGCGATACTAACACTTCTATTCATCATAAACGTAATTCTAAAACATTGGTCGAAATAGCCTCCAAGGTTGTATTACCGAAAATTAATCATGCAATCGTATTGAATTCGATCAATAACATCAAACAAATCGAATATGTCACCGCAATCAATAAAATTGTACCCGCTGAAAACATTCGTTTCGCGAATCTCAAATAACAGATTCTGCGTGTTTTTTAACAGTCAAACTGTCATGGAAAAATTACTTAAAACCCATTCTTCTCTTTTATTTTATTAAAAACGGGCGTGACCCAAAGTATAGTAAATGAAAGTTAAATCTTTATACAAATAGCAAATCAGCTAGGTGGGACGGAACTAGGTGCTTAAATAAAAGCGAAAACGATGAGTGGACATTAGCAAGGCGCATCATGGGGTAAACCGGATTGTTCGCACTATAGTTGGTGGCGTGCATTGGGATGGTAAAAATGGTGGTAGAACGGGTACGACGTGGAGGGACGCGAAAGTTGATCAGGGAAAAGAGCGTAGGAACATCGACAGAGGCGTCAATGAGGTTTTTGAGAAAGTTCAAGTTATTGACAACTCTTCTGTCGGCTAGCATTGAAAGACTGAGCTTGTGAAGAACTGGTGAGTATTTAATAACTAGTTCATCTTGCAACAGAAAACAGTCGCATTCGTTGATAATTCGACGGAAAATTTTTAGGACATCCGCGAGTGCTAGAATATTGGTATTAGGGAGCATTTTCTTGAAACCGTTAATGAACCGAGCGAAAAGAATAGGCGACCGGTGACCTCCTTTAGGAACACCTGAGGAAATAGGGGACACTCCAGATTTATGTCTATTAGTGTTAACCCATTGTTTCCTCCCGGACAAGTATGATTCGAACCGTGACAAAAGCGGATCATCAAACCCTGACTTACTAAGAATTTTAATTAAGGTTTTATGATCGACTCTGTCGAAAGCTTTTTAAAAGTCAGTAAAAATAACATCCAGCAGGTATTTACTTTCAAAAACTTCAAGAAGAGATTTCAAGAGATTGTTGAGGACCAACAAATTCATTATAGTTGACCGCCCTGACCTGCAACCATATTGCTCATTAATAAATAGGAGTCGGATTAACTGAAGGTAGAATGTCCTTGAGCACGAGCTTTTCCAAAAGCTTAGCTATATGGCCTAGGATAGAATTCTATAGTGTATATATAAAATTCTACAGGATATATAAACGCTGACTTTGCCTGAGCGATTCTGGAACTTATTTCCATGATGTGTTTGCCATCTTGGTCAACTGAGCTGCCAAGATATTTAAAATGCTGCATTTGCTCAATCATTTCCTCCGATTGGATATTAGTTCTACGGATTCGATATAATTTTTTGCGCATCATAACTTTAGTTTTTCGACTGTTGATAATCGTTTGATCATTTTTTTTTTTTTTTTTTTTTGGAATCATCTCACCATCTCTTTCGGCAGTTTTTCCAAATCGTGTTAATTATTGGCTAATAGTGCAATTTCGTCAGCTAATCTTTATATGAAAGATATTATTTCTCCATGCACTTTTATGCGATTTATTTGTATCAATAACAATGTTCAATTACAAACTACAAAATTATAACATACTAACCTTGCCGCGTCATTTATACACATTATATACGGTCATAATGGAATCGGATTCGTCGGAAATGACCGCCGTAACTGTCCTGCTAATCTGTAGATCTGGAGGAACAGACCGAATAAAATTGGTGAGGTTACGTTTAAGCAACACGGTCCGTACCAGAGTAATAGTATGTAATTATCGCCGTTCAATATCGTATAGATAGGTACTCATAGTTTTAATCGATAAAAAAATAGGGTATACAATCGAAATTTCTTGCACCAAGTTATAAGTAGTGTAAGTAGAGGTGGCCGACAGGACGATAACGACATATGTTCGAGTCGATCGTGATTTCTTTTCATTTTTTTTTTTTTTTGTAAATTTTCACATCTTTGTTCAACCCACGAACATGAACATTTTATTAATAACAATTAATAAAGGAAATATGTAGTGATAAATAACTATGAAAAACGAAATTATACACTGAGAGATCGAGTAGCTATTTAATTAAGTATATTCAGAGCCGGCAATAACTTTTGAGACCCTTGGGGATAATCGGTTCCAGGTCCCTCTTAGTTGCACTTGTTTGGCCAAGATACACATACCTACTAATTGTACATACTTAATATAAATATTCAAACTCGCATCTTATGTTAGGGCGAATGAGATTTATAAAAACATTTTGTATTAAAGGCTGAGACGACGGGCCCTTTCGGACGTACGGGCCCCGGGGCTCTAGCCCTCCCTAGGCCAACCCTCTCGCCGGCCCTGGGTATTTTGTTCGTAATCTAATGGATGTTCTATACGTACAAAATAACGGTCCTTATCGCGTTCGTAATAAACTGTTAAATACGTATTGAAATACGTGTTATGTAAAATTTTAAGATTAAAGTTATTGTTACTTATTAATATTTTCAAAAGAGGAAAAAAGGAACTATAACAAGCATGTATATAAAATATGCTTTTGCTCAGTGATAACTTTTTTTATTTCGTTAGGCCAACGTGAAAATCTAGAAAAACCCAGATGTCGATCATAAATCTATAAAAGTTGACTAACCCTGGCATGTAGCATATGCATGGAGTGTTCGCCAAAACTCGGTTACTGACTGTAACGAATATTAACCTATCAATTAATGTTTGATTTCGTTAATGACAATCCGTACGGTTTGGTACGTGCTCAAAGTGCGTACGGGATCCCCGTCGTATACAAAATGTTTAGATAAATATATAAGATTATATGTATAGTATAGTTTAGGTGAAATAAAAACGAAAACTTCTGAGATCAGATTTTATTTTATCTCAACAATCGTATACAACTTCTGAACGGATATGTTACATTTAAAATATCAAAAAAAAAAAAAAAGCTGTAAACTGCAGCGGAGGAGAGAGAGAGTTTTTTTTTTTCATTCGACTTCGTTAAATAAATGGACGCTTTTTAGTAGAGAAATTTTAATTTTTCTTTAGGAAATCGTAATATTGTAACATATACTAAACAACAATTAAAAATTAGGTGTAATAACTTAGTACATAAAAAAAAAAAAACAAACTAGATAAAACGTTTATACACAAAAATAGTAATATTTACATATAATAATATGTATATATTCTACCTAATACGGTACTGTACACGAATCGTAAATAGTGGGAATATGGATATTGGAGGCGTTCCGCCGCCATTATCCGTTTAGGAAATGGTAAACGCTTATTTCATATAATTTAGAAAAAAACATCAACGGGTCGCGAGTACAAGACCCTATTCATAATAAATAAATAAATAAATAATAATAATAATAATAGTTTACATTAACAATAATCCCTCAAATACAATGCAAGTATGCGCATTAAAACAAAAAAAAAAATAATAATAATAATAATAAAAATAATGATAATATAATAAAAGTAATAATAATAATAATAATAATAATAATAACGTGTGCGCGCGCATTATTAAAATTTGAGCATCAGAAAATGTATACGGCTTTCTTTCGTATTCGTATTGTTAAGATAATGTACACGTTTTACCGTGCGATTGAACGTTTCGGTCAACGCGTCGTGTTCGCGCGTAGATGTGCTGTTCGCGATTAATATGCACAAGGTATACAGGTTTAAGATATTGTATTCGAGGGAACGTATATTCATCCGGGGCGCAACGTAATCTGTAAACGGAGAGTAACGGGTACGGAAAAACAAAGGAAACGAAAAAAAAAAATTAGCGAACGGCGTTCTACTATCGGTGAACATAATCAATGCTGCACACGGTACGCGATGTACGTAAGAGGTGTCCATAACGATGTGTAATGATTCGAATGTTCCGTATTCGGTCCGCACGAACGCGGTTCTCTTAAGGCGGGTTCGCACCAGACGTGAACCGCGAAAGTGTGACCGACGGTTTGCGTAAACAATCAATTCGTATTTCACGATAGCGGAATTGTCGTTCACGAACCCCTCACGACCGGTTCGTACAATATCAAACCGTGTTGGATATTTCAGTCGTGGTGTACAATAGAATGCTTCCGCCACTAAAGGTGTACGTACAGACCAAGCAACATTTTGTTGGCAACACGTTGCCGAATGTTGGCAACAAATTTGTCGGATTCAGATACATGTTGTCAACAGTGTGCCGCGTTCAAACCAAATGATAGTTGCGTGTCAACAGTCCACATCCGTCTGTTGTAGTTGTAGTTTAAAGCGTTAAAAAGTTTAAGTGAAAGTTAAAATATATAAACATTTAAAAAATAAATACTTTATTTTAAACAAATATCAAATGGATCTGAAAACTGTTGCTGCTGGTGCTGCATTCATCATCATAGCTACACATGGTAAAGTAAGAAAAAGAAAATGGTGGCAGAGAAAATTTTTAAAAAATGGTATAAGCTATGGTGACAACTTAATGTCTGAATTACTTTTAAACGACGGCAGTTCATTCCGAAATTTCGTTAGACTAACTAAATCTGATTTTGAAGAACTTCTCCGTTTGGTAGCTCCTAAGATCGCGAATAATAATGCGAAAAATTAAAAAGTACAACTAAACTAACTAAATGATATGTGAACGTGTGTACAAATCAATGTATTAAGTACTTGTAGACAACATCGTCCATACTGAGCGATGTTTTCCATTTCGATTGGAAAACTCAGATACAAGCAACACATTTCTTTGATGTCATGCCGCCCAACATTGACGTGTATCCGTCAACTTTTAACCAGTTGCTGAGATACATGTTGACAACACTGTTGGCAACATGTTGCTAACAAAATGTAGCTCGGTCTGTACGTACCTTAACGATTCCATCATACCGAACGATAATCGCGTTTACGTGTAAAACACCTTCTCACGATTCGTGCGACGTGAAACCACGCTCGTGAGTCACAACTCACAAGACCGTGAAATACGATCGCGGCTCACGTCTCGCGTAAACCCGCCCCTTTAGATATGCGATATACGTAGTAGTGATGATGGCCGGAGCCGGTGAACCGTTCTACCCCCGTTACGGTGGTTCGCGGTGGGGGCTTGCGCGAGGACCGGACTTGTGACTCCGTTTGACGAAACGCGCGATAAGCGCGCGACAATCGAAAGTGGGTGATGGTAATGTGACGGGGGGGGGGGGGGGAGAGAAAAAAAAAAATAATAATAATAAAAACAATCAAACAAAACGAAACGATAAATGATTAACATCCGCAGGATACAATATTTTATACGCTTGTCGGAACACGGTGTCACGACGTGTGGGTGCGCGCGATTTGGCATCGTTTGAGACTAGAACGATACAGGGCGTACGGAGATATAATATCATGATCAATTATAATGATAATAACCTGTATATTGATATTGATCAACGACGTGTATTATATCGGTTACGCGACGACGGTGGCGGGTACAAGACACTGAAACAAAAGTCACCGAGAAAAACAAAACGAAACAGATAAAAAAAAAAAAAACAACTTAAGGATCTGTTTGACAGGTTGACTGTAAAACGCGGTTGTCAACGCGGTCGCGGCGCGTACCAGACGAACGGCGCGGACCGCGGACGACCACGACTACGGCGACGCTGGTTCAGTGGCGCAACAGCGGCGCGATGGCGTTATTGTACTGGCGGTGCGGCGGCGGCGGCGGTGGCGGCGGTGGTGGCGGCAGCGGCCGTTGCAGCAGGGCCGGTGGACGCGATCGTGCCGATTGCGGCCGCGTGCGGTTCGAGCCCCGTCTCCGAGTCCGGACTGCCGTAACCGCTCGACCCGTCGTCGACGACCATTGCCGGTCCGCCTCCGCCGCCCGACGCGTTAGCACGTCCAACTCCTCCAACTCCTCCTCCTCCTCCTCCTCTGAGTGCGACGGCCGTCGGTTGATGCGCAGACAGCACCGTAGCACCGGTTGCAGACAGGAACTGGTGGTGCTGATGGTGGTGGTGGTGCTGCAACTGGTGTCCGGCTGCTGGTGTTGTACCGCCGTAACCGATTGCGACGGCAGTGGTGTCGAGTGATTGACGTTGCTGCTGCTGCTGCTGCTGCTGCTGCTGCTGGTGGTGCTGTTCGACAGAGGTGGCTCTGCACCGGTCCACCTCGTCGGTCGGTCCTACAAAGTCTCCTGTTGCTGCTGCTGTTGCGTGGGCGTGCTCGTTTGCCGCTGGCTGCAAACACAGAGTATCACATTGAAGATCGCCAATAACGATTAAGGCAGCTGTGTCGGTCGCGAGGTCGTGTCGATCGATCGAAAGCAATACCGTCGACGAGTCGGTTATCAACCGTAAACGTGCGCAGATCGATCGATCGAACGGTTTAAGACCACCCGTAGCATTTCGGCAAGGAAACCCTCTACTGTTTTCATATTTTTCCATACGCAATACATGTATACATATTCGTGTCGTTTTCATCGTTAAGTGTGTAACATTTATCGCGTGTACGTGCGTGTGTCGCGAACAGTGGGATAGTTCTAGTACGCACATATATATATTATATATAAACGGCGCATAAACTTTAGTTCGGTACACTAAAATCGATCATGGATTCGAGATCGGTTAATGATATTAATCGTGTGTTTATCGGACACTGCGAGATTTGATAATATTTTAGGGAATGGAGTCCTTAACAAGGTTTTCGATTATTTTTAACGTATATATATGTATATATATATATATATATATGCTCGGTGAAAACCTCGCTAAGGAACCCCGTTCTCTAATATAATATCATATTATATAATGTCCTATAAACATACAACTAATCCCGTTTAACCAACCTTGAATCGATTTCAGTGTATCGAACAAAAGTTTATGTGCCGGTAAGACGTGTGTATCTAAGACTCGTATAGTTCAATTATTATTCGCTACAAAGTAGATTTTGTTTTTTCCCCATACAAATCACTTTAACCATAATATATGAAAATTTGTTTTTCCAACTAATTCTAGGAGGGTCGTATCCCTCGCTTTTCACTTTTTTTTTTATAGCACACATTTACTGCAGTGTACATATTATACGTATATATATATATATATATATATCGTTTGTATTAGAGACGAATCTCTCAATGTCATCTATTGTTCGAATGGGTACATGCGTTTTACACAAATTTGACGATACGTATTAGAACGAGATTGGATTGAAATTGAATAGTTTCGAGTCTAGTTTTTATGCAGAAACAGCGTCTTTTATTGTTTATTAAAAAATGATAGTCGATTTAAACACTCTCCCATAACGGTTTATATTTCTATCGGAAGTAATCAAACTTTTGATTTTAAATATTTGAAGATGACATTGATTGGTGTTGATAAGTTATTTTAGTCACTTGTTCAGATGTATGGTGTAATTTAAAAAAGTTCATTTTTAGTGCTTGGTATGGAATTTTCAAATTTTAAAAATTATATGGTTTCTATTATATTTTGAAAAGTCATATTGGAAGAAAATCGTAATAATATTTTATTAAAAAAAAAAAAAAAAATCTAATGTTTCAATATTATGAAGATTTGTGTTTTAAAACGAAATATATAACTTCAGGATTTGAATATATTTAATATGTGGTTGATTTAGATTTAAACTATAAGGAGAGGCACGATGATTAATGTGCCAAATGTTGTTATACATTTAAATACCTAAAATCCATACACAGCCAGTTGTTTTATAATTTTTCTTGACAACAATAAATCTTCAATAAATTAATCTCTTTTGGAGTATTAATAAACAATAATCTTTAATATAATAGAAAATAATTTAACTACTCTAAGACATTATATTCAAGGAATAAAATTAACAACTGAAATTGAATGTTTAACTTAAACCATTAGTAAGCAAACGTCATTTTTAATGTGGTTGTTTTTACAATAAAACTTGAAACAATTTGTGACTATTACAAACCAAAATATAATCCCATAATTTTCAACAAAAGCTCAAATATAAGACTATTCGTAGCGAGTGATAGACGCTCTAATACTTCTACGAAACAAACATGTTAGAACTAGTTTACCCTAAATGGAATATATACGTCATAAAACATTATTTACATTTAAACCTTTATATTTTTGGCTTTAAGTTGATGAGTACATACGTATATACTCGTACGTTTACAAACGTGTACACGTACGGTATAGTATTGGTAAAAAGTTGTTTTTTGTTGTAGCGTTATTTGATGAATTCTTTATGACTACCAGAGTCTAAAAGTTCCATTTATACAGCGCATAAAGTATCTGTCAGTTTTGCGACTACTTTAGACATCACAAATATTAATGTAGAAATATGAAATTTTAAATTGAAACACTATCGTCTAGAACACACGTCGTGTAGCGGTAGTGCCAGCAGTACACGGCCGTTGATAAATTCCATTGCCGCGTGTCATAAACGATTGTTTTAACCGACGTCGGACCTGAATAAATAATATTACGAGTGTACCGCGTCGAATCGGAAGAAAAAACGGCGGAAGAAAAATACGCCGTACGTTTTGCGCTCGTGTAAGCGATATCGCCGTCGTTTTCGTGGGTGCGCGAAAACTGTTCGCCCGGCAAATTCGAGCGGGGAAAAAAAAAGGCCGACACGACGATTGCTCGTTGTTCCGCTCGTCGGCGCGGGATAACGACGCGAACCCGAGGGAAACCTGTCGCGCGCAGGCCGTTAAGGACGTTCGAAGCGAGGTGGCGTGTGCGCGTGTGTCAGGACGTGCGAGAGTAGTACAGGGTCGCCCCGTCGAATGTCCTACCTGTAATCTACTGACTTGCCTTCTTATGTGCGCCAGACTGGACGAATTGTACGTGGCCATGTTGGCGAACACCAGCCGTTCCTCGTAGTCGTACTCGCACAGGATCTTGTTCTCGCACAGGTAGAAACGGTCGCCCACGCAAAACCTGCAGCAGACAAACGGCGGTGAGACGTGGCGATAGCGGGCGTGGTCGGGGGTGGGGAGTGGTACAGGAGTGATGCGGTGAGAGGAAGGGGGGGGGGGAGACGTATGAAAACGTAAAAATGTATTTGAATCGATTTAATTGTTTGTGAAACGGTTCATGACGAGCACTGTGCTCGTGGAAAAGACGTTTTCGTCGTACGCGTTCATCAAAAACAAGACTTGCGACAGACTTCTTGTGAGTACAGACTTACGAGTTTGCTTTTGGTCCGTGAAATATGATTTCAAAAATCGATTGTTACCGAACATCCCCGAGGATCGCATGCACGACGCGTTGCGCAATAAACAAACGGGATTACGTGTGAAACATTTGCATATTGTTACACCCGAGTTGTGTACGTACGTATAACACGCGCATATGTTGTGTTATGTGCGTGCGGTATTTTTTTTATCAATATTCTTACCTATGATTACACTGCTGACACGCGAAACACTCTAAGTGGTAGACGTTGTTTTTGGCCCTCATCACCATCTCGAACGCCGGTATTACCTTGTTGCACGCCGCGCAATTGCCGGTCGCACCGAATAACCTGGAAATTACATTAGCCTTACATGAATTATAATATTATCATGCCGGCGCGATTAGCGACGGCGGCGGCTGCCGCGTTGGGTTTCCAACGGGTAGACACGCGCGTGCGCGCGAACGTTTAAGCCGCAGTGTTGTACAAGATGCAAAATTGGAATAATAAAACGTTCGTCCCGAAATATTATAAATATTATAATACACCGTATAGGTGCAACGACCTGCAGCGAACGCCATCAGCCGCGTTATCCCGTCTCCCCTTAGACTTCGTACACACGTGTACAACACCCCCGTGTACCTGTCCCTCGAAACGATACGAATACGTGTACATGCATTCTCCTGTCGATCTAATGGGTTTTTCACGTTTAATTACTGCGCAATCTTCTTTTCGGTTCGGCGCGCGTTATATGTTCCCCGTACAATGAGTAGGTGTTTTGCGCAACAGATGTTCCCGTTGGCGCGCGCCGGCCTTTCAAACATTTTAATATTTTACGTACGAAACGAGACCAGTTTTCGATACACCACTAGTAGACGGCCGCCTCGAGCGAACGACCGACGAGCACTACTCTTAACACAGCAATGACACGTAATCCAATCCCGAAGACCGATGGGGTGAAATGATGATGGGATGGGGCGGAGGAATTTAAACGCATTTGATTATCTCGTTAATCTATGTGTATGTGTGGAAAACGGTTTCGTATATTGTGCACTTTTTTCTTCTCTAGAGTAGAATGATAATTATATACATTATGATCGTATAAATTCGATTGGCGAAAAAAGATCAGTGATTTGGTTTAATTTTATTATTTTATTTTTTACCGGAAAACGATTTCTTATTCGTTTTGTTATACTCTGCAATGGCGTGGGGGTATAAAAGTATCATTTTATAAGTAATTGTAAAACCGGTTCGAGGCAGTATCAAAATATTTTAACTAAAATACAATTGTAATAATACGTGGGTTAGAGAAAATCAATTTAGATTGGTGGACGGAAAAAAAAAAAAAAAAAAAACAATAAAAAAAATCTATAAGTCAACTGTTTTTATAAAATTAATACTTTCGAACGTATTAATATACATGAAAAAAATAAAACAAAAAGAACCGATAAAAATAGGACACGTGTTTTAATATTAAAACAGGAACAACAACAATATACGCGTTCTAGCTTCATTATTATGTGCGTTCAACTAGCAAGTTATAATTTATAATTATGCATACAGGCGCAAATTGCAATAATTGTTCCCTAGTCATCGTGTATTATATTGTGTGCGTATTGATACAAATGATAAAATTTCATTACGAGCATACTTTTCATTTATACGAGTATATAATATAACGAATGAACGACAACATAATAATATTATACGTCGCGGTGTTCACATTTTATTACGAAATAATAATAATAAAAAGAAAAATAAATCTTCGGTCGAAAGGTCTTTCTAGTGGGGGTGGTCGTATTATTCGTTCGTCAAATTAATTCGGTCGTCCAAACACGACGACGACGACAAATACAACATCACATATTGTCCGTGTCCATTCATTAAAGAGAAGTTTACCGAACGTCGAAATATCCCTTTCGTTTGTATTTCCATATATTACACAATAATATACGTATACGTGAAGGGACACGCGCGTACACTTACGTATGTGTGCGCGTAGTAAAAGGGGTGGCATATGGTTATAGCAAAACAGGTCCAGTCCGATATATATTAACTTGGCTGGATAATACGCGCGCGTTTATGTAAACGTGCAGATTGTGTTTTCCGTCAGCGGCAGAGAGTTGACTTTTGTGTCGGGCCAAACGCGGTTTGGCCGACATACGGTTTTAATTAAATTCAACAGTCGCCGACGGATAAGAGAGAGAGAGAGAGAGAGAGAGAGAGAGAGAGAGAGAGATGGAACATCTCTTGCCCCGCAACCATCGTTACCCTTTCCGCGATCACTTTCATAAACGGATTTAATTGAATCCGGAATAGGTGTCCCTCCCACGCGTGCGGCGCCCATTCCACGCGAACCTCTAGACTTATTTTTATTTCGTTTTATTTTCATTGCTGATAATTCGGCATTCTCGCTAATTAAACCCTCCCTACTTCGCCAAATCCCGTCCCTTGCAACGACATTGCAATACCGTACTCAAACATACGCGTGGTATATACGTAATTAATGGAAACGAGTATTCGGAGACTTCATTTTTCGCGAACGACCACCGATTACTAAAAACTCATTAATATTTGTATATAACGAGACGTGCTGTGTTGTGCATTCGATCTTTTCCGCGAGTCATAAAACATTTTATGAAGATTATGTTTTTTGTCGTACAACGATTCGTCTCGGACGATCGCAGTGCGAACGCCTTACACTAAAACCCTACTGCCAGCGTACACATTATCCGCGAAAATCGAACCAGCACACGTTGTTTCGTATCGACCCGAAATCAGAACATACCGTGGGGCGCAACAACTATTAAGTGTTTTCCTAACAGACTTTGACCTTTCACCTACATAAACAAACGTCTATCGGTACGAGGTCGTTACCTGAGATAGTCTCTTTTACAAAGTATAAGGTTGGCCTTGGTGTACAACGTGGATCCAACTTCGCCCAAGCGACAATCGCAGCAGCCGCACTTGAGACAGTCCTCGTGCCAGAACAGGTCCAACGCCTTCAGCAGGAACCGTTCGGTGATGCGTTTGCCACAATTGGCGCACTCTCTGGCTATCATCGCCGTGCTGCCGTTCAGACCTGTTAACGTGGTCGCGGTAACTGTCCCGCCGTTGGTCACGACACCACCGTTGGTTTGTTGATGTTCTGAAGAAAACAAAAAAAAAAAAATGTTGTTTTTTTAGTACAAGGGTAATTTATGCTAACATAAAATACATTAAAGGATATTGATTTGAAAAGATTCATTTAAATACTTTTGTAATATCCAAAAACAACGGAGCCTGACAGAAAAATTAAAAATAATAATAATTTAATAAAATAATAATAATATAATAACATGATATTTTTTTTTATTAAAAATATTTAGAATGTAATTATTTGAGACTTTATATTTTACGCATAATCCGTTTGACAGAATTAAAAAATATATACAGAAGGCTAATTATTAAAGCTTTAAAAAGTGAAATAAAAAAATAAAATATATCACATTAATATAAAAATATTTATTGGTTTGGTTGTTTAGCATTTTAGCATTATTGTATGCGAATAGAAACTTGATAATTTATTGATCACTATTGTTCGGAATTTTTTTTTTTAGATGTTCTGGGTAATTTACATTTTATAACATCTGACCGGTATAAATATTTTTTTTAGAATATTATTTTACAAAATGTAATTTGAAAAACATAATAAATTGTTCAATGGTTAAGCGATTTATAAAAAAATTGAGTTTATTCCGAACGATTTAGTTTACATAGAAAAAAAAAACAATTACGATTAAAAATTTGTTTTGCAGTGACGTTGTTATAACTAATGAAGAGGAAAAAACGTCGGTATATATACGCGTATAGCGACATTGTCAATATTAAAGTGCTGGTGTACAACATTGTTCGAAATTTGTCCACCAAAATATTGCAAATTAAATTACACAATGTGTAGAGGAGGTTTCATCTGGGCTCTTTAATTACGTGCAGGCTAATTTTTATTTTTTAATAAAAATTAATACTATGAACTGCGCTTGTAAAACAACGGCTCACCCACCACCACCGCTTCTTCACCGCACGCCATTACATTATGCATCATCCGTCTTTTCAAACTTAATTTTAAACTTCTCATAAACGATGCTCTAAACTTATTTCATTTAAATTTCATTTAATTTGTATAGAGATATATATACCATCCGATTCCCGCACCCGACGAACATCATCCTCCAGACTTTAATGAATTTTACTCGCCACTTTCCTCCACCCATTCGACCGTCCATCAATTTAATCCCAAAATCGACTTAATGAAAGTTCCGCTTTTCTTCACTACTACGGGATGCGACAATACTTAAAGCTGTTTTACAATGGTCTCTAAATTTTATTTTTGCTACTAATAACTTATCATCTACAATTTCATCAATAATTAAACGAAAAATAATAGTACAAATTACCAGTAAATTTCTTTACAAATTCGTACATTACTTACATCAATAACAATACAATTCACATGAATACATTTTCAAATGTATTCAACAGTTTTATTATTCAGGTTGTTGAATATAATTATTTTAATTATTTTATTATCTAAGAATAAATGTTATAGTTTTTTATATGATTATTAATATACACAGTTTGAACTAGTATGAACAGTAAAATGTAAATTAATATGTGTTTGTCATTCATATTTATATATTGTATGTTGCGATTTATGGAATTAAATAATTAATGGAAGATAACGTGCAAGCATTAATGAGATACCACGAAATAATTACTTTATAAATTAATTACTCTCTATAGATGTAGTAAAATGATTTGTTTATCGAAATTTAATAAATTTTATACAATAGTAAAACGACCATTCTAGTAATATACATTTAATAAAAATTTAATAATCTATTAATATCTCATAACATTTAAATCGATTTCAAAGTAATATAATATACATGTATGCTCATAAATATAGTGAAAAATTAGAAATTGATTTATAGTGCACTTCAATATTAAAAAAGAATGTGCTTTTGAATATGACGCACTTCGTCATGTATTAGATTATTCGACAATTGTCATGAATAATGATAAAAGCATATAAAATGTATTCGAACGGTAGGGAGACGAATGTAAGACCACTTTAGTGAGCGAGTTTTGCACAGGAGTGAGAAATGTAAGTTGAATCAGCAAAAAAAAAAAAAAAAACGAAAAAATTGAATTAAATAAAACGAAAAAAGTTTGATCAGTCGATAAGACATCTCTAAAAGCATTTTATAACGAAAAAACATAATTTAATTTATTTATTCTAAAATATTACAAGGTCTTTTCGTATTATGAGCGTGTGACATTTTGACGCCGACAACATAATAATCCACTTACTGCGGCGGATTCTGCCAATAATAAAATCTCACCGACCACGGAATGCGTACAGTTAATGGAATCGTTTTTATTGCGCTTTGATTGAGATATCTGTTTCGAAATAAGTTTTGCACGCTTTTCCATTACTTTTCTTTATAAAAAAAGATATAATTATGCTAAAAAGAAAAAGAATTCCTATCCAAGGTGAAGCAGTTGCCTTCCATTAAATCTCTGGAGGTTTTACACCTCCCTAAAAAGGAGCCGGACCAATCCGGGTTTGGAATGAATTCCATAGACGCTCCTAACGAATGCCACGACATGAACGTAATTAATCTTAGTTTTTAACTAATTACCTTTATTTTTTTATCCACATCACAGCCGTACGGTCGGGTAAGTAAGGGGTAAAACGTGGAAAAACATTTTCTAAACCATATTATTCTTTGTCGGTTTTTTTAATAATCCGAGAGGGCCCACGGAGAGAAGGAAATTATATACTTTAATTATTTCTCTTTTTTCCTCTCCCGCCGTCACTGCTACCACCGATTTAATTAGTACGGTTAAAAAGAAAGGTTAACAGAAAAATAAAATGAAGCCCCTGTGCACCACTTTTCACGGCCCCCCATCGTTACATCGACGAACACGCGGAGGATAAAGAGGAGACGGAGGAGAAACTAAAGCGGTTTTAATGATTTTTTTCGCTCGGAAATTGTTAAAATTAAAATTAATTTTGTACAAAAAGAGAACGTATACAATAATAAAACGCGCTTAGAACTTTTTTCATTTCACCATCACCGGGCGCGTCGGGACACCTCTCTCCGACGTTTTGATGTGGCATCTGTGATATGGTAAAGTTTTAAAATTAAACAAACATTTTACGAACACGTCGTATATCATTTTTTTGTTACTTGTCCCTTTCTCTCCTTTATGCAACGTGCTTTTTTAATGCGGTTATTTGTGTTTTTTTGATTTCAATGCGTTTAAAAATATGTGCTTATCAAATCAAATTGCTTTCCTTTCTAACGTTCGTTATTCAATTGATATTGCTACAATACAACCATACGACCAAGTATTAACTGTATAATTGCATTAAATTATTATAATTTTTCTCTTTATAATTATGTTTTGATTAGTTTTTAACATTGTAAACAAGAGTTTGATTAAAATGCGACAAACATATTACCTAAACAAACAAACATGAATGTTATTAAAGGAAAATCAACAATAATACAAATAACTGAATCGGTTTAGTAGCAGAACTTTTCTTCTAAATATTTAATAATAGCTTTGCATAGTTAAAAATATTGTGATAATTTATATTTATAAAAATTAAATTATAGAGTTTTATCAGTTTATTAGATCAACATGAATAATATTAATAATAAAATCACAATTTTTTATTTCCTAACATGTCTAACCGCTTGAATAAGATACATAAGCTGTTTTTTAATAAACCATAAATGATATACATTTTGATAACTATTTAAATTATGCGAGTACAACAATATTTCAGGGTACATACTTTGAGACGTAAACACAGTATGAAAAATAAATTGTTCTCTTAAATGTTCGTAAAATTAAAACGTACAGAACAAATTTCGAATATACATGGAAAAATACAGAATACATTATAATGTATATTACAGTAACATTTCTAAAGAAAAAATACAAACAAATTTATGGATTGCTTTTATGGATTGAAGTTTTAAATTTATTTATAAAAAAATATACTAATGGACCACTGCACGGAGTCATATAATCGCTTATGACCTAGAGTAGTATTTTTTAAAAGAACAGTTCATGATAATAATAATAAAAAAATGTATTATTAATATATAATATTCCAATTTTAATCCGTTAATGCACAAATCAAATAATCGGCTGCATGAGTTTTTTTTTTTTTGTCCTCCCTGCGACGATTCCAATAATTTTAATGCGTTTTTTATGCTAATCGAAAAGTTTTGGACGTAAAATAAAAAAGCTCACCGGAAAAAGGTTTCAACTCTGTTATTTATATTTTATTTACCATTATTTTTTTTTTTTTGGTTCAGTAGGATAATGGAGAGTGTTTTATATTTGTTTTTCCTACGTAAACGAAGACGGACAAGTCCCAATAGACAGAATAGCCAAAATATACATACTCGTATATAAATGCATACTCACTCATATACCTGTGTGTATGTGTACCATATACATACAAACATACACGAGAAAGAAAAAAGCTCCCAACTAAATTATAATAACAATGCTAAAAAGGTTTTACATTCGGATTCCATTTAGGTTTTGGGCCGGTCGAGAATAAATCCATCTTTTTTTCTCTGCCCAATAGACAGGTTACACGTATTCGCTATTATCGCCGGACAACTGGAAAATAGACTTAACGCCACCGTCGCTTGCTTTCCCGCGAGGTCTCTTGACGCTTCAGACCAACTTGACAAAACTTTATGCACTATATACCTTTGGTGATACCATCACCACTGTTGATGGTCTAAAAACAACCCCTACAGTGATGGAGTTAGAAACCAACATTTATTCCGAGAATTATATGTCTGACCACGATCGCGTGAAGGCCACGGTAGCGGAAGAAGCCGGTCGCGTTAATATTAAACAATTTTAATCTGAAGTCAGTGAACAACGAATAAACAAAAAAAAAAAATGCTATTATATTATTATTATTATTAAAGCTTGGTGTAATCACGGTGGACGAAGGGCGAACCAGGATTAAAAGCAATTTTTCCATCGTTGTCCTCTAAAGGAATAACAAAAGAGGGGTGTTGACGACAGTGGTAGGCTGGGGTTAGGTGTGCTGCATGCGGTGGT